AGGTTGCTTCAACCTTCTTCTTTACACAAAGGCCATAATATTTCTTCCCATTGCCTCTTATTAGCTTTAATTCCCCAAAATTTACCTTTTCAAATATGTAATCTTTGAACTACTATATCCTACTTTTTCTTACTATAGTGAATTCAGATTTCAGTTTTCACACACTTTGTGTGCACTATATTTGTAAAACGCATTGTGTTTCTGGAAATTATCTGTTTTTTTCTCCAAGTAATGACCATTCAGTTTTGCAGGAGAGGATGCATTTCTGATCTCGAACAGAATTTAATAAAATAATATTTAGTAACCTCTGACATGAGACACATGCTGAAAGGACCAAGAAGAGAACAAATTTGATAAAACAGGTAGGATAACTTTGTCAAGGTAAAGCATTGTTGCCGGGTTTAGAACCTGGCTAAGAGACAACAAAGAGCAGGAATAAATAGTCAGTTTTCAACATGGCAAAAGTTAACAATGAGATTTGTATTAGAACTGGTTTTGTTTTAATATGTTAAATGATTTGGGAAGGTGGAGGGTGAATGGATAACAAAAATCTAGGTCAATCTTAGACTTAGGATCTTCAGAGGGATCTACCAAAAGTAGGTTAATTGACAACCCGCTAGAAAATGAAATGCATCACCTTGTATTTATTCAGAGATAGAAGACCAAAAAAAAAAGAAAGAAAGAAAGAAACGTAATGCGTCTCTCTCTGAGGAGAAATTGAAAAGATTGTGACTGTTTCATTTAGACAGAAGATGAATACGAAGGCTCATGAGACGGGAGTATGTAAAATAATGAATGGCCTAGGGAAGGGAAATTGGGCGCTCTTATTTATCCTTTCATATAATACAAGGTCAAGGGGCTGTCCAATGAAATTGAAAAGCAGCCAATTTAAAACAAAAGGAAATAGTTTTCTACACAATTTCTAATTAGTCTGTCGTGATCTTTACCACAAAATATAATTGAATCTAAGGTTTCGCAAGATTAAAATAAGAAAAGAATTAGACATTTATATTTAAAGGACATTCAGAATTATAGTAGATATGATATGTCGATATAAAAAAATCATGCTTCTGCATTTAAGCCAACCACTAAAGGTATGTCTACTGCACTGTAAACCCAGATCTGTGGGATCTGTGCTTGTGGACTCGGTGTTTCCAAACCCACACTTCGGTGTCCACACTGCATTGTAACCCTGGATTTACAGTTGCTTGACTCAGATCTCACAACTGTGCTAACTCATCCATACTGCACTCGCAAACCTTCTGACTCAGGTCTGTGGTGTGAGCTGCATCCTCACTCCAAAATGACAGGGCTTAGACCGAAGTTTCAGCGGGGCTTGGGCTCTGACCTTGACCCACCCTCATAGGAGGAAGGGTCTTAGGACCCGGTCCTGAGTGCTTGCTGGTCTGAGTCATACAGCTTTGTATGTGAACAGAAGTGGGGCTTGGGATCAAACCTGAGTCAGAGCCCGGGCTTAGTGTGCAGTGTAGTTATACCCTCAGTGAATTAGGAAGAAAATTCTCTAACGGGAAAGTTGGTTTGTAACTGTCCATTTTGGGATGTCTTACACCTTCCTCTGAAGCAGTTAGTACTGACTGCTGTGAGAAAGAGGATCATGGAGTAGATGGACCACTGGTCTGATCTGATACTGCATTTCCTACATTCTGTAGTAGTGGATCTTAAAGCAGAGGACTGGGAATGAGGACTTAATTTCTATTTGTCTGTGTTGTGGATGGGCTTTGTGACCTTGTGCAAGTCTCTTCCCCCTCTTCAGTTTCCCCGTCTATGAAATGGATATAACTGTCACGTGTTGAGGCTTATTAATTTTTGTAAAGCACTCTTGGATCCAAAGGGTATGCAGAAATCCAAAATATTAGTATAATTAAATGCTAGATGTGCAGAGAAACTACTGTGGGTTAGGACCAATACCTTGTGGCAATACCAAAGTTCCCATCTGGCTGCAGTCAAAATTCAGCACTTCTTGCGCCTTTTAAAAATAAATAAATATAGGTGTAGATTGACATGGGTTCAAGAGAGGGTTTTGTCAGTCAGCTTCAAATAGTAAATGCTGAGGCCAGCCCCTTGTTGGTGGAGCTGTCAATACAGAAGTGAGTATTTGACATCCGGCTTGGTTGGTGGCTGGGGATGGAGGATGTTGAGATTTTCAGAGATCAGGCTGTAAATGAAGTTGTTCTGTTGGGTCACTCATCTGATTTACACACAAGCTGTTTCTATTGAAACACCTGGGGCCTTTTGTTTGAGCTTGTGAATAAGCTTCTTTCAGTCCCCAATTGTAATTTAGAGTCTCCGCGTCTTTCAATGGGCAGAAAGCAAGTACAGGAATGACATTTCCCCCCAATGTGTGAACCTTTGCTCTTTTAAAGACAAATGTTGATTTAAAAAAAAAAAAAAAAGGAACAGAACTCCAGTGGTAATGTAAATCTTGTTACATACATGAGAAAGATCTTAGCTGACTTGCTCAAAAGTAACGTAAGGAGTTGGTTATTTTTTGTTGTGTACTTCCTCACAGATCAATAATAACTGAGGTCTGGACCAGTATTAACTAACTAGTTTGCATATGTAAATAAGTACATCCTGATTAGCTGCAAGGAGTTCTGTGAAACTGATCTCTTAACTTCCCCTATAAAATGTCCGTTTCAAAGAAAAACAGTTCAATTTTAAATGTCTTGTGATAATGGAGATAAATTCATGTTTTTATGACATACCAGATGTATACAATAGTATGTGTACTAACCTCTGCTTTTTGTGACATCACTATTACCCGTACTTGGTCTCTCTGCTTCCTGTGGGTCAGACCTTGATACTGACATCAGTAAAAGTAAATGACTGCTTATTTTATTATGAAAAATAAGTGCTTGCAGCCTTCGTGGGGAAAAGAGGGGTGGACAGAATGATTGCCTCTAATTCCTTTATGACCATTCTGCTATGAGTGGCACTTGGACATCTCTGTAATGGGTATGTTTTAAATCTCTAGAATATGTACTTATGACTCAGAAATGCCCATGGCTGGACTCTTTTTGCTCTGTAGCCATATGTTTCTTACAATTTGTTTATATTCCACTTAGCAGAGCATCTTAAGGGGTCAGCAATATTAAATGTGTTTTGGAAGCTCAATGCTAATTTTTAGCTTTGATTAGTGGGGACACCATATCATTGTAGCTAATCTCCTGGTTACTATTGGTGAGCAGTAGGCTCAATGAAAGCAGACACTGACAAATAAACGGCTTTGAATTGGTTTTAAATTAACAAATTATTAAAAATGTCAAATACTTAAAACGAAATAAATCTATGCCTTTTGCTCCTGTTAGTTTTAAGGCTACAGTTGCCTGGACACGATAAGAGCTTTATAGCTAATTGGAGTAGGTTTTGTTTTGTGTTTTTGCATTGGGATTTAGAATTCTTCTGTATGTGGGAGCACTCGAGTATTGTCTGGTAGGTTAAAACAGCAGACTGAGAAGTGTGACCTGGGTTTCTATTGCTTGCTGTGATACCTGATCCATAATTCCTGCTCTCTCTCGACTTAAGTTTGCCTGACAATAAAATAGGTGACACTTTCCTATCGGACCGGGGGTTGTGAAGTTAATGTTTATAAAGTGTACAGATTCTTGAATTCTAGGTTCTTTATCAAGTGTAGAATTTATTTATAAAATTGAGGTGAGATTATATTAGGGTAACCAAAACTTCTAAAAAGCACCTTTTCCTAGGTTAAATTCTCCAGTGAATTTGAAAAATATGTATATTTTTGGAGCAGAAGCATCAATTGGAGCAAAATATCCTAAGTGACATGATGTAAACTGGGGATAGGGTTAATTCAAGTGTGGTTTTCTGTATGGAAACAAATTATGAATATAGGAGGCTGTCCTCTTTCTGCCCATTTCTGCATTGGGTCACATGGCTCCCACATATTAAATTTAATGCAGGACTTTGCACTCCTCCCAGAGCAGTGAGAAATAGTGGCTCAAAGACAGCTGCCATTTCACACCGTTACAGCTGTCCGTTCCACTCAAATTTTCTCTCATCCCCCTGCTTCTGAGAAAAAAGGCTTACTATGGTATGGGGGTGTGGAGATGAAGAATATAATGGTGTGAGATTTCATGTAACTAATCTGTCATATCCTACTGTGTTTGTAACTAGCTGCCCATTTAAAATGTATTGGCACTACACCTCCATGCCAGTGACAAAATAAACAGCAAGCTTATGGCTCAAAAGTTCTGTCACTGATAAGAACAAGGTTGCTGTCAAAATGCCAGTGATATTTTTAACCTTCAGTGCTAGTGATTTCAAAACTACGGATATCAGAATGGAATAGTTTTAAATATTCATGGCTACTATTTTCCTTTTTTTTTGATAGGCTGACACCCCCCCCCCTTTTTTTTTTTGATCCATTTGGAAAGGTGAAGAATCAGTTTGCTATGGTAACTGCAGTTTAGTTAATGAATAGCAGAGCAAGTAGAAACAGAAAACCTTTGCAGTCACTGAGTTATTATTGCCCGTGGCGATAGGATCTTTCCCCCTCTTCCCACTCCCTCTGGTGCAGGGGTGGGGTGGGAGTGTGTGGAACAAAATCTTTTCTCTTTCCCTGACACCGTCCAGTGGAATTTGCCATTCATTTTTCTGCTTACCTTGCAGAATCTTTCACTCTGTGGTGTATTTGAGAGGTGGCTATGCATGGAGGGAGAGAACTGATTAATTGGAAAGAAATAACTTTGTTTAGCGCAGTACCACAAAAACAGATGCAAAAAGCTGATTACATAATTAATTTGTTGGACCATAACCTCCTTTTTTTCACTTTTTGGTACTGTCTCATCTAAGAGTTTCTGAGGGGACAGATCAATCAGTAGTGTGTGTCTTGAAGCTGTTTCAGTCTTAAAGGCCAGCTGCAACTGTATTGATGCAATTCAGCTAAGCCGTCAGAGTTCCTGTAATCTGTGCCATCCTGTCTCATACAGTCCCATCTCATAGTTCTCCTTTCTCTGCAGTGCTCTATGCCCAGATCTCTGTGGCTGGGCTGCTCCAGCCTGGCGGACAGCATGTCCTCGCTGCGATGCCTGTATAACCCAGGGACTGGCGCACTCACAGCTTTCCAGGTACTTTCTCTCTCTCTCTCGCTCGCTCTCGTCTGTGTGTGCATGTCTGTTTCTTGCTCTCTCTTGCTTGCTTACATCATTTATTCTGCTTCAAACTGTGTGCTTCCTCATGCCATTCAAAACTCCTACAGTCATTAAACTCATCTCATGTAGATTCTGAGTGTATCACTCTGGGGCATTTTCACTGCATTGTTTTTAATATCATTTTGCCTGAATTGGTCTGGTACCATCAACTTTTTGCCATTGGTTCTCAGGTGTATCAAAAGCATGCAACTGAACTTTAACAAGTGTCACTGGCACACAATATTCATCATACAGTCTCTGATCTGGGCCTACGGACAGCCAATTGCCTTAATTTTGCTATCAAAATTTTTCTTAAAACTGTTAGAGGAATTTGCAATGGGCTGGTGCAGTGGCACTGATAACTGATGCCCTGCGTTTGTATTTATTTTGTTAGATTTAATAATGGCAGTCCAGGAGCTACAGTTACAGAAAATGAGAACACAGAAAAGTTAACCAGATGCCGCACAAAGCAAGTGGATTTTGCATTGTGCTCTGAAGTTTGGTAGATTTTTGACTCTGAGCTGTCAAGGGAAATAATTCCAAGGACGGGGAAGGGTCTGCTGCTAGGCATGAAGTATTCAAATCTTCAGTTCTGATAGCAAGCGTGTCCCACCCAATCTTAATTGTGTCAATATGGAGTATGGAGTGAGAGGCAACTCTTGGATAACCATGTCCCAGACCATTCAGGGCTTCAAGATCCTTGCCAACACCTTGAATTGCAGCTAGAGATGAACATGGAGGCAGTGCAGATCGAGCTATGCACAGGTGTTGCTTTCGTGCTGGGCACTCCTGGAAGCTGATAACTGATTCTGCACTAGTGGAGGCTTCTGGGGTAGTTCAGAGGTAGTGCCTTGCAAATCAGGCCTTGGAGGCTCAGTGGCATGAATGACTGCTTCAAGGTGCACACTAGAGAGGAAGAGCTGGAGTCTGTTGTCCAGGCAGCTGGTGGCCAGTGGGGCTTTCCCCCAGCAGCCTCTGGGAATCGAAGAGCAATCACTGATCCAGTATGCCCCTCAAGTTGTGAATCATTTGGACAAAAGTCAGTTACCTGCCTTCAAGAGATGGCATGCAAGAAACCTGCATTTTCCTTTGGATCTGGTTTCCTGCTCCCAGGATTGGCGGGACTAGGGAGTGCTGTGGAGAGATGCTCTCAGTCCCGCGGGAGGCTTAAGTGCCTTACATCATTCTGCAGCAACCCTTCTAGCTGACCTAGCACTAGCATTGATGGACTCCAGAAGGTGTCCTGTCAGCCTCCCTGGCGGAAGCAAGCTCCTTGCAGAGCTTTCAGTGAGGGAGGGGAAGAGAGCATTTATATCCTTCTAAGAGGACTCTGTGGGGATACGGGCAGTATTTAGATTCCTACTTCTAATCCTGATTTGCATAATTTGACTGAATCAGATGGGCCTCTTTTTGGGTTTCTGCTGAGGAATAACTATCTGACATGTTTAAGCTCTGCTTTAAGGGCGAACCCTGAGAGTGTGTGTGGAGCAGTTTGCATACTGAAACCAGTACCCCTCTTTCTGCTTGATCTGTGTCCGATAGTACAATATATACTTCTGTTTTTAGCAAAATCATACCTTTATATAGCACCTTTTATCTCCAGCTACCCCAAAGCACTTTACAAACTACTGGTCTTCAAGAATCATTTCACCACTAACAAAATGTATCCCCATCTGAAGCTGAACAAATCAACTGTGTCACAGGAACACAACTGCTCAGGACTGGAAGTGGTGATGAATACCATATCCATTTGAAAGTACAGTGAGAATTTGGGATTTAGCTACACTCAACTCCCGTGAGAAATTTCCGAGGCTATTTAATGACTGAGAGTGACGGGAAACTCTGTCTCACGTGCCATCCGAAACACCTCTCTAGCAGCACAATAGCCAAGTCTCATGCTGGGGCGTTGGTGCTGTATTTACTGAAGGGAGAAACTTTGAACATCCAGCACCAGTTTCTGCAGCATTTGCATTGTCTTTATCCCAATCAGTTTTTGAATAGACTTTGACCTTTATTAGCTTGCAAGGTCTGATGAGATTTCTTCCTTAGGTTGCTGTCTATTTTGTTGCAGTAATCTGAGTGGGTGTGGGGTTGGGACAGTCAGTGACTAGGATATCGAGATATATTTCCACCTTTTTTGGTGCTATACAGAATTTTCAGTGTTGCATTTTAAGATCTGTTTTTGTAGCCCAGCAAATTTTCTCATATTAAGCTACTTTTTTTTTTTTAGCAAGCTTGAAGTAACTGGAGAAGAATATCAATTTTCTTTGCTTGTGGCAAGAAAGAAGGTGCCATCTGGAATGCCACTTAGTCACTGCTGAATTTGTCTAGTTATTTACATGCTTTGCCATGAAATGCTCAGACAGAAATGGCAGAACAGGCACTTTCTGAATATTTCGGCTAACAACCCGCTGACACCTCATGGGAAGCATTGGCAAATATTCGAGTTAGAGAATTCTCGTTATGTCAGATGACATCCAAGTTTCCCTTCCTGTGTTTGTTTTACTATCAGAAACATTTGTTTGAAAACGGGCTCTTACAGTCCCTCAATTCAATTTGACAACGCTTTGTGACATGACAACAGGTAGCAGCAATGTCAAAACTGGAGTTCTGATTTTTGCGTGGGGCATTAAGCAGCAGGAGCGATATATTTCTCTAGTGCCTCTTATCTCAGAAGATCCAAATGTGCTCACAAACCATGATTGACCATATAAGTGAAAAGCAACCAGCTCTTGATGGAGAGCAACAGCAAACTGGTACACGACATGCTGCGTAGCAGAGGACGACAAAAGGACTGATCCCCTACTCTTAAGAGCAAAAGTGCCATCAGGGCTTTAATGGCCATGAAGAACATGCCATTCCAAACTGATGGCAAATTTTATCCCACTGTGACCCTCCTAAGCAACAGAAATCCTGTTTACATGTAGATGTTCTTAATAATAAAAATAGTCATATGCAGTTGTCTCTGAAACTGAATATTTTTAAGTTTCCAGGACACACAGCAGGAGGTGTATTTATATTCTAGTGAAATTTTTCACTTTGAATAAAATTGTTTACTTCCCCATCGTAAAATATTTGTCAGAAAAGGAAGGATTCAAGTTCAGAAGTCCGCATATGTCATATTTAAGAGCCGTAGCTGACTGTGAACCATGACTTACAGTTAAACTTGGTGTTAAAACACAAGAGTGCAATGAAAATGGAATGTGTCTCAAGACATTCAAGGTTGGAATGTGCAAAAAGTTAAAGTAGTCTGGGTTTTCTCTTATTTGGGTAACAGATGTTTGGTGGTAATAGGATTTAGCCCTCATCTAGTGATGGCCATCTGTAGATGTCAAGTGCTTCACAAAGGTGGTTAAGTGTGATTATTCCCATTGTACAGGTGAGGAAACTGAGAAGCAGTGAGTTTAAATGACTTGCCCAAGCTCTCACAATAAGTTTGTGACAGAAGACTCCCACCCAAGTGCCACATCAGATATAGACTGTAAACTCTTTGGGGCAGGGACCATGTCTTTGTTGTAAGGTGCCTGGCACAATTTTGGTTGCTCAAAAAGAAAAGAAAACAGTTGTAGGTTGCCAATTCTGACATCCAGTAGTATGGCGATGGGTGGCATAGAAAACAGAGAAGGGTTAGATTCTCCATGGTAGAGTCAGAAGCATCCTGTTGGATGAAGGGGAGGATTGCCTGCTTTACAGAGTATTTCATATGAATTCCCACAATCTGCTATAGTTGAAGCTGGTTAAATCAAGTACTTGAGCATGAAGCAATACACACACAACGTCACTTCCACAGGCTGTAGCTCCTTAAAAGATGAAGGTGGCTGTGATCTGTGCAGTTTTGTGCAAATTAGTGTGACCTTATTGATGACAGAGGGTGCTGTCTTTTGATTGGGCAAAGCCCTTAGAATGAAGTATATGAGAGAGTAATTTTGACGTTAGCAGATCGGACAGGGTTAAGTTGCTGATGGCACATGTGCACCATCTCTTCTGATAGAGGCCATTTTTGGAGAAGGGTGAGGGATAAAGATGTGGGATGATTGAGATGCATGGGCCACAATCTGGTATATGCAGGCTGCAAAGAGAAAGGGGCAGCTGTTTGTTTGTTTGTTTCTTGCTTGCTTGTCACTTTTCACCATGGCTGATATTGATACATCTGAAATGATTTTTCTTAAGAGGGGCATTGTCAGTAATTTATATCCCATGTTCAACTTTCTTTGTAAATTTCAAAGCACGTTTCCTTTGGACTATTCACGGGTTTTATTTAAAAAGTTGAGTTTTTCATTACTGAAAATTACTGTGTATATATAAATATGAGAGGTAATAATGATGATATTATTGATGGCCTTAAGGTAAGTAACCCATACAACGCAAGCTGTGCATGCTCTGCAGTCATTGTGTTGGGTGCAGATGTCTGTTACAATTTGTCTAAAATGAATTATTCAGCACTGGAAAGAGCAATTATTAGTATGATCGTTTTTGTGTCTAACTGGAGGTGAAATATACGGTCTGGTCAAGAGATTCCATCGGCCCAGAGAAATAGCTGCACTTGACCAACCCCTGCTTTGCATTCCCTGCTCTGGTTCTGTTCCAGCGGCCCTGTGAAATGTGCCTGTGGGCTATTTACAGTGAGATTATAAAAGTGAATCCGAATTTTGGTGACTAAGATCCAGAGCGTGTGGCTCTGGCACCCCCCAGCTGGTGGCAGGCTCACCCCTGTTTATGAATGTAGTTAGGTGGCCCCCAACTGTTTACAAGACAGCAGAGGTGAGATCTTTGATTGACAAGTCAGAAATGCATTAGATCATTCCCTCTGCCAGTCTCTGGTTCATGCTGTTAAAAATGTCAGCCTCTCCAAGTTTGAATGGCAGCCCGAGGGCCTCAGAAGCTTTTTGTTTTCTGAGATGGAAACACAAATTGGATGTGTGCCTGAGCGCTTCATC